GCATGCGATTTTAGGACCATTGTTGCCCTTACATGTAACTGACATGTTTTTTCTCAGACGCTCAGCTCTCAACCTGTCTGCAGTCATTTTCTTCTGTATCCATGTTGCCTTCCCGATTTCCCCTCTACACACACGTTTCACAATAGACACTTGGATTCTGGCTCACGGTAATACTGACACACTCACACAACAGACGTCAACCAAATCACCAATGATGGCGTCAGTGACATTAGCTAAATGAAATACATGTTTGTATATACAATACGTTTCTATTTTAACACATTTATCTTATATGGACAGTTAGAGGTGGACGAACAGCAGCTTGAAAGAGTGTAAATCCTTGGCGAGCGATATACAATCTTGGAGATATAATGCAGCCAACCTGCATTGTGGTGACGGCACAACATTTGTTTCTCATGTTACATGTTAACTGAGTCTGTTTATCAGAAGTCAGAAGGAAACTGATCATAGCAGTACAAAAGTTGAATGACAATGCAAGTTTACGACACAACATCAGCAGACAAATGAAAGTAATACTTATATCTGTATGTATATCTACTGTGATATATATGAGCGTGAGTCTTGGACGATTTCATTGTCACTCTTCATTGTCATCCGTGTGGGTTCCGGGGAACTATTGTAGAGAAAACAAGAATAGACCCCATGCCCACAAAAAATATTTCGTAAGAATCGACTAATTTGGAGCTTCCTTCGAAGTCGGAATGCATCTGCCTGAAAGACAAAAAACCAACAGTCTGAACACAAATGTGTCAGATCTGTCAAACGGATGCACACGCAACACCCAGGTTCTGGAACAGGACTGCAGTCCAAAAGTGGACGAACAACCAGAACTTTCCACCAGAGTTTACAGCTGGTGAACGCAAAGAAGACGAAGAAGATTGTCACTAAAGAAGGCAATTGGGACTTATGAATTGAAGTGTTACAGACATCGTTTTTAAAATTGAACGGTCAGAATTTACACCTTAAGACAATGGCTGCGGCAGACAGAGCATCTATTATTTCCGGTATGAATTGAAGGCGATTCTTAAATTTATAAATCTGTAATGATAGAATGCATTAAATAATGATAGGGAAAAAAATACTGATGATAAAAAAGACAGGAACACGAAGAAAGTTGATTAATTAATTAGAAAATCTAACTGAGCCTCTAGAGAAGAGAATCACAGCAAATCACGCAGTATTTCATGGAAGTAAATCTTCCGAGAAATGAATATACTTAGGAATAGGTCGTATTTCATGATGATAAAACCAGTCAAAGGCAATGGCCCAGAGAGGAACAATATAAAAAGAGGTATGATAAAACATAGTGGCTTAGGAAGCGATATAACAGACAAGCAAAATAATGAGTCAAAAGACAAACCACTTTTAATGACATTCACACTGGAGGGAAATACTGAAGGCAAGCGAGAAAGAGGCAGACAGCGACACAGGTGGAAACATGACATGAGATAAATGTGCATCAGTCGCAGAGAGGGTACGTACAGGGTGAAAAGACAGAGCTTATTTGAGATTTATTGTAGACAACCTTCAATGCCTTCAACCTACTGATTGACTGAGGGAGCCTCCGGTGCGAAGTGTTCAAGCCGTTTTCCTCGTATTTTGAAGGTTGTGGGTTCATTTGACAGACGCCTAGTTAAGTTCACAGATGAAGTTTTTTTTGGGAGCCTCACAGGATCACCGTCGGAGCTGCGGAATTTGCGCTTTGTGCGACGCTATAGGCAGGTGGCTATTAGTTATGCGGAGAGAAATCGATTTTGTCGACCTAAACCTCTAACTGACTGATTGATTCAACACTTTCTGAACCTACATTGATCTGGCCCCATGTCTCCATTTCTGTAGACCTTTTATATGTGTCGCAGACGCCAGTCCCTTTATTCATGTATGGGTTTTGCAAGCTCTTGTATGGTGAAGAGGTCTTCCACTTGGCAGCGCTGGCAGTTTTACTGACCAATGACTTGGAAGGAATGTCGTAATGTGCCGGAGTCGTCTGTTAAAGCATCAAGGTCAAGCGATATTGAAGTTCCATTTCCTTCTTGTGTTTCTGGAAAGAAAAATGGAAATGTTTAAGAATTTGTTTAGTCTGAGATCCTGTAGAAGATAAGCTAAACAAACAACACCATGCTGTAAGACTTAGTTGTTGGATGGAGACGAATCTCTTACGCTAACCCGACAAAGTTTCCCGGAAGTGAGTTCTGCGTGAGCGTGTCTACGCCGGCTTTGAGACCATGATAAGAGGCTGTACCCTTATTGTTAGGGTCCTTATTTTTAAAGGGGATTGTGTGTGTGTGTGTGGGTGTGTGTGTGTGTGAAAAAAAGGGGGGGGGGTATGTTAAAATAAGAAGGAAACTGCAATACATGACCAATGGAATGGTTTGCGGGGAAAGAGAAAAAAAGGGGGGTGGAACGATGACTGAAAGGGATGAACAGTGGGATGACTGAAAGAGATGAACAGTGGGATGACTCAAAGGGATCAACAGTGGGATGACTGAAAGGGATCAACAGTGGGATGACTGAAAGGGATGAACAGTGGGATGACTGAAAGAGATGAACAGTGGGATGACTGAAAGGGATCAACAGTGGGATGACTGAAAGGGATGAACAGTGGGATGACTGAAAGAGATGAACAGTGGGATGACTGAAAGAGATGAACAGTGGGATGACTGAAAGAGATGAACAGTGGGATGACTCAAAGGGATCAACAGTGGGATGACTGAAAGGTATCAACAGTGGGATGACTGAAAGAGATGAACAGTGGGATGACTGAAACAGATCAACAGTGGGATGACTGAAAGGTATCAACAGTGGGATGACTGAAAGAGATCAACAGTGGGATGACTGAAAGAGATCAATAGTGGGATGACTGAAAGAGATCAACAGTGGGATGACTGAAAGAGATCAACAGTGGGATGACTGAAAGAGATCAACAGTGGGATGACTGAAAGAGATCAACAGTGGGATGACTGAAAGGTATCAACAGTGGGATGACTGAAAGAGATCAACAGTGGGATGACTGAAAGGGAGGACAGTGGGATGACTGAAAGGGATGAACAGTGGGATGACTGAAAGGGATGAACAGTGGGATGACTGAAAGGGATGAACAGTGGGATGACTGAAAGGAATGAACAGTGGGATGACTGAAAGGAATGAACAGTGGGATGACTGAAATAGATCGAACAACTTCCCAGGGAGCGAACCCTAGTATGTGAGTATGAAATTACGTTCATAACCCATAAACCGCAGACATTGACCTCAACCCAAAAACGGATGTAAATGATACGTTATTAACTTGACACGGCTCGTCTACGAATCAGCCACAATTGAATTGCGTGATCAAGTATTTAGGCTAGATTACTGCTTTATCTAAATGTTAAACTTTAATTCGTTACCACTTGAATCGATCTGACCTTTGCTTTATTTCGATTTTGTCGAGTTCTGGCGTGAGCACCACAAAAGAAACTGGATGATTAAATCGTGATTATTGCTGTCTGCTTTCAACTATGTCAAATCGATTGTTGTAATATCACGCATGCTATTTCGAGCTACCTTCTAACAGATTAATTTCTCCCGATCAAGTCATTATCTCTCTTTGAACCATGTATTATACTTCACGTTAAAGTTATAAGGAGGCGAAACAATAAGATGCATATACCAGGACAATGTAATCGTAGATGTGTGAATTATTAAAGACACATAGATTATTTTATATCTCTTCTTCTCTCAGAGTCCATGCTGTGGCTTTAACTGTCATTTCCATCCACAACCCTATGGATACCATTAGGTCTTTGGAAAATTGGCTTCATAGACTCTCACCTGTTAGAGGTAAAGAGCTCGTTAAACTGGCGATGAAAGCACACTGCTTATGTCTTAACCCTTGTCCAACTGTCAAACCACGACTGTCTATGATGGCATAGTCCTTGAACTCCTTCGTGTATTCAGGCCACTGGTTTGTTGTACTGTAATTTGGGTTTCTGTAAATAGATCCAAGAAGTTAGTAAGGTCATGCAAAAATATGAAACGACGATATCAGAGTTGTCTAAAAAAATAAAGATCAACTTATACAACATAATATTCTTGTAACCTTTTACAACACTGAGATGCGCTAGCCAGAGGAAGGGAATAGGGAAGAGGAGAAGAAAAATATGAAGGCAGTGTGTGGATGTATTTTAGTTGATGGCTTACCATTACTTGATTTGCCTTGAATTCTGAAGTGTACAGTTAACCAGATAGTCAAACATACCAGACATTGCGTAATTTCTGTTTGTGTCCTTTTCTGTTCAAAGATATACTTACGCACACAACCACACATACACAAACATGTATATATGTACATACATGCTAACACATACATACATATCCTCTTCCTCCTCCTCCTCCTCCTCATTCTTCTTAGAGAGCTGCGTGGTCTCGAGACATGGTGTCCGCCTCGAGTGCTACAGGTTCCGGTAAGGGCTGGCGATATTTTTTCACGTAGACTTAGACTTCTAGTAATTCCACATGGTCTCTGGGTAGTGAGATCGGACGCCCGTATGTATTGTTTTGCACGTAAAAAATCCCTTTGGCAGTTGGAAATGACTGACTTTCTACCCCACCAGGACATCACACAAGCGATAAACACCCGATGGCACAAAGTGCCACCATGCGAATGAGGATCACTTGTGGAGAGGTACCCTACCGCGTTCAGTATTTCATAAGATGACCTGCCTATCCTGCGGCCAGTGCAAAAGCCAGAGTGGGGCTTCAAATAACAAAAAATAACGTCCTAAGCTTCGTTCGGAACTCAGACTTGGAATTTAAAAAAAAGAAGTAGAACGGGCGCTGCCGGGCAAACTTATGATGTACTACCTACAGTGTATTTCATGATGCCAGTGCTACGTCGTTGCTGAAACTTCGGACTCAGACTTGAGTTAGAGAAGAACTTCTTTGGATGTACTCTGTGCCTTGATTCTTCGTTCTTCTTCAGACTTCTTCTCTCTTCTTCTTCTTCTTCTTCTTCTTCTTCTTCTTCTTCTTCTTCTTTTTCTTCTTCTTCTTTTCTTTCTTCTTTCTTTTTCTTCTTCTTCTTCTTCTTTCTTCTTCTTCTTCTTCTTCTTCTTCTTCTTCTCTTCTTCTTCTTCCCTGCTTCTTCGTCTTCTTCTTCCTCCTCCTTCATCTCGTGCTCCTCCCCATTTCACTTCTTCTTCCTCCTCCTAATATATCACTCGCCTATATTTATCTCTGTAATTGGCGTTCTCTTTCACGTCGATGACATCAAGTGTTTGCAGATCTGCGTGTATATTATCTCTCCACCGTCTGTTTGGTTTGTCTCGTGGTTTACTCCCATTGAATTCTTTAGTGTACACATTTCTTGACTCTGTATGATCTCTCTCTCTCTCTCTCTCTCTCTCTCTCTCTCTCTTTCTCTCTCTCTCTGTGTATGATCTCTTTTCTTTCTCTCTCGCTCTCTCTCATTCTCTCTCTCCCATTCTCTCTGTCTATCTCTGTGTGTGTGTGTGTGTGTGTGTGTGTGTGTGTGTGTAACTTGTTAACCACATTCACCAGCAATATAAAAATGCAAAACATCTACTTATATACAAAGAGAGCATACCCAGTTTTTGCAAAGTTCGTCCACAGCTTCATCATCTGCAGACTCAAGGACTTCTCCTCTTCTGTGTACACAGAAGACATCGCTAAAGGAAGCCCAAATATAAGCTCAATCTCGTAACCATGGACAACACCTGACCAGGCTGGCCACGGATTGGTGCTCACTCGGTGCTCAAAACTGTACGTGTACACATGATTATTGCCATTCCTTGTCAGGCTACTGGCAAAGTTTAATACAGGGCATTTGAAAGACTTATCTCCAGTGATAGCGTCGAGGAGTTGGGTATAGGATGAGTTTGAATCTTTCATATATTCTTCTTTAATTAAATCACTGGCCTTTTTATCGTTTTTTAAGTAAAATGGAAGAATACGATCAAACTGCTCATTGCTGATATGGCCATCACCTTTGAGTGGAAAGTCTTGTTGGAACTGGTATACATTGAAATAGATGCCTTCATTTTTGTTGACGCCGAGAAGGATGTTTGCATTCTTTACATCGCCTTTCTCCACCATTTTCAGAGGATGGTCTGGGATGAAATATCCGTCAATTACCGGCGCGAAGGGAAATGAAACTCCAGCATTTAATATCCACTGTTTGTCGCACAAAGTTTGAGGATCGAGAGATCTAAGGCAGTTTATGGAAGAACTGATATTGTTTTTTGAACATAAAGCTCTGGAAATAAGAGTTAATGTTCTGTTTTTTGCTACGTCACGTTCAAGAACGGCCCAATCGGCAAAGGGTGACGCGCTTTGCATGATTGCATTATGAAAGTAATTTCTAGACACGGGAGACAACAAATGGAAACCTACAGACGCTGCTCCAGCGCTCTCCCCAAATATCGTTATCGATTCTGGTGAACCGCCGAGGTTAATCGCATTATCTCGGACCCACTTCAACCCTAAAGCCTGGTCTAAAAGTCCAGCATTGCCAGGGGCGTCATCGTTGCCAAGATAGAGAAAGCCTAGTGGCCCTAGTCTGTAAGCGATGGAAACGACAATGACGTCGTTCAGCGCCGCTAATTGTGAAGCGTCGTAAAGATCCAAAGTTGTTGTGCCAGAGTAAAAACCGCCACCAAAAATCCAGACCAGTATCGATTTCTGTTTTTGTTGAGAGCAATGTTGGGTACACACGGGGCGCCATATATTTATGTACAAGCAGTCTTCGCTTCGTTAGGGGGGGGGGGGGGAGGGGTGGTGGGGTGGGGGGGGGGGTGGGGGTGGGGGGGGGGGGGGGGGGGGGGGGGGGGGGGGTGGGGGGGGGGTGGGGGGCGGGTGGGGGGGGGGGGGGGGGGGGGGGGGGGGGGGGGGGGGGGCGGGGGGGGGGGGGGGTGGGGGGGGGGGGGGGGGGGGGGGGGTGTGTTTGGGGGGGGGGGGGGGGGGGGGGGGGGGCGGGGGGGGGCGGGGGGGGGGGGGGGGGGGGGGGGGGGGGGGGGGGGGGGGGGGGGGGGGGGGGGGGGGGGGGGGGGGGGGGGGGGGGGGGGATTCCACATTTCAACCCCGGGAAAGCGCCCGAAGTTCGTGTCCACACTTTGCCAGCAGGAATTCGGTTTCTGTGTACCGTCACGTTCACCCTTCCATGGTTCTGCGGACTGAGGCGGTTTAAATCTGAGTCCTCCAACTGGAGGCTTGGCAAATGGAATGTTGTAGAAAACATCGATCTTTCTATTGGCTCCAATAACTTTCCTTACTCCTGTAACTCTTCCCAGAGTTGTCGACAGTGTGGTAGCTGATAGCGGCAGTGAGGCGAGAACGACGCCAGGAAGTATGTAGACAGATGTCATGAAGATTAGTATAGTCATTTTCCTGTTTAAAAAAAAGACAAAATTTTAAAATTTCATAAAACTTGGTAGCCTAGTCTATATATGCTTGTTTTACTTGTCAGTAGTAAATACAAATTGATACCTTACGTACTTAGTTGCTCCTCTTCTACCTTGGGGTGTAGAGGTTTGCCAGAGAGATCGCCAGACGTCTCTATCAGCAGTTTTCTTTTTGGCTTTATTCCATTCCAGTCCTCTGTCAGTCAGGGACTGTCGGATGTTGTCTTCACAGCAGACCCTGGGTCGTCCTGGAGGTCTGGTGACCTGGTTCCCATGGCGGCCGATTTTCTCCCATTCTGCATTCATGTCAAACCATCGTAACTATGATCCACTCGGGTTTGTAAAGACTGAGTATCAAGATCTTGAGGTGTTGTCTGATTGCGGACTTTGTCCCTTCTTGTAATTTAAACCACTTTTCTCGGATACCTCATTTCTGAGGCCTGAAGCTGGCTTCTGTGAGATATTGTCATTGCCCATGACTCACACCAATAGGTCAGGACTGGTACATACACACATACACATTTATAAATTGTCCTCTAATTTGCTAGGTAAAACTGGCACTCTTTGTGTGTGTTTGAGGGATTGGAGGGGGGTTGGGGGTAGGCCTCCTTCCCCTAACCCTAACATGCGATGCTTCCTTGGTGGTGTGTGTGTGTGTGTGTGTGTGTGTGGTGTGTGTATGGTGTGTATGTGTGTATGTATGTGTGTATGTATGTATGTGTGTGTGGTGTGTGTATGTGTATGTATGTATGTGTGTGTGTGAATGTATGTATGCATTAACTAGGTAACAGAAACAATCTTATGAACTACAGGCGGTAGTGTTCATGTTGTTTGCTATACAAAATCTGGAGCTGCCGTGATGTAGCGGCTAGACGCTCGTCTAAGGATATAAAGGTCGTGGGCTCGAGTCCTGACGGAGCCGGTTTTTTTTCTGCAAAAAATGACCTTGGCTTCCAGGTCGACTCAACCTCAAGTGGGTATCAGATATAGTCCTGGAAAGTAAAGGCGGCCGGCGTGATATTCACTAAATCACCCACCGAGTGCCGATTGGTCTATAAAATATAGGCCCAATCCTCTATGCCCAGTACGCACGATGTCGAGGAAAAGGGTCCTTTATTAAAAATGGGTCTAACGTAATGGATCCGACTGGTCACCAGCACGAAGAGCGTTCAAACTACTATAATTTGACAAGTAAACAGCAAGGAAACTCAGCTAGGAGGATGATCTAAAGATATGATTAACAACATGCAGTCTAAAACTACCATGACAGTTGGAAAAGTCGAACATATTGACATTACAGCACTCAGGATACTCAACTGAGGACTTTGCAACTTCGATGGCAACATTACCCGTCTGATCGTATGTCCATCTCGAAGTTCCCTTGATTATTGAGCGTGGGCCAGATCCCCTGGTCATTCCTCGTAGGGCTACTCTCAGAATGTGATTATTTATTTGTGCCTTCTCAGTGTTTACCCGCTCCCAAAGGACCCTTACAACATATAGCGTGTCAGGTGCAAGTTCATCACCAGGTAGGACATAACCAATCAGTCTTTCTGCCTTTTCGTTCCCTATCAGACCAGCAACTTTCACACAGAAAGCTAACTACCAGGGACTTCAGATGTGACGCTTGCCACTCTGCACGGAGCATGCCTGTCTTCACTTTTCTCAACTTACTCTGTGAGACAGCTACAGTTACGACACATGTGTACGGTTGTTTTTCAAGCTCAGTCCCGTTGTGAATATCGGCTAATTTAGTCAACATCTATGTTGCTGCACTGCAGTATCCTCAGCTTGCAGTTGCGCGTGCACACATGTCATTAACCGGGGTGAGTTAAGGCTGGCGTATTTTTTGTCGTGAATGCAGGATGTTGAGGGCCGTGTAAACAAAGCGTGATTACAATCATCAGGAGGAATAATATTTGTAGGTAAGGTCTTCAGTAAAATATTATGGGATTTAACACTTTTTGAAACAGATTGTTTTAACATAGTAATGGACAATTTGTAGAGCAAAGTAAATTAGCGGGGCCTTTTCATGCCATGGGTGCTTTTGGCATGAGATGCTTCACAAAAATTTTTCTAGACCAAGCATGCGTGATGTTTGAAGTGGTTAACGTCAAGCTTATCCACTTTATTATCCAGTACATTACCTGGTACACATATAAGGTTGGATCCACATGTGAAGCCAGCTATCCAAAATCAGCCTCACGGGGATTCGAATCACAAACCGCATGAACAGCAGGCCTTTAACCAGTGCAGTGCTGCCACTTCATTCATTCTGTCTCATAGTTTATTTATTGTAACTTCTACTCTCAAACTTTGTTTGAGTTAAAGCTGTGGTCTCGAACCTGCCCCTCAGTTTCCCCTTCTTCCCAAGAAAGGCGTGGGATAGTTCTTTTAAAAAAGTGGGGAGGGAGGAAGGGGGTGTCAAGCAATTTTGAAAATGAGCTTTGAACAACGGACAAACATTATAGCACACGGGTAAAAACCCATAAGTGCTCCGTTCTTCTTCTAACTCAAGTCTGAGTCCGAAGAAGCTCAGCACAGTGCACAGGCTCTGTAGCACCGGCAAGGATCCTTAAATGCTTTGGGTAGATTTTTTACTCCAAATTTTGCCTGGGCAGAGCCGTTAGGCTACTATTTTTGATTTTCAACTGCCAAGGGAATTTTTACGTACGTAACAATGCACACGGGCGTCCAATCTCACTACCCAGAGATCAGAAAGAATTACTAGAAATCCCAGTCCACGTTGCGTTGCGAACGCGCTTCGTAATACCGGAGTGCCGGGTTCGATCCCAACTGCAGGCTGTTTTTGCAGTTGGTTTCTACAGTGGTACCGAGAGATGACTGTGTAGATAGAAATGGAAAACCACTGAACGTAAAGTTTAGCTACAAAAAAAATACAAAATGAAGTTTCCTAGAAAAAAAAATACAGACGCGCAAGCATAAATAAATATAGAATGCATGAAATACATCGAAGAGTGCAACAATAACAGTATGCAAGCCACACAAAGTTAAATACACTTGGTAAATTAAAGAAAATATATATTTAAAAATATTACACTGTAAATTATACGAATAATATGCATTTTTTTTTAAACGCAATCAAAATACATGCAGAATAAATGAACAGCAATTGAAAGCAACAACTGCTGTAGATAACTAGAACAAAAGATCTTTTGTTACCATAAAAATGAGGAATCACTGCCAGTTTACACTTCAAATGGAATCAGGCACAGGAACAATAGTTCATATATTGACACACCACCGCACGATGTTACCAACAGCTCTCCGCTCAGACGAATGAAGTCATATTCTGAAGTAACTCTCTAATGTACGTCACGACTTTGGTAAACACTCACCACAAAGACATCTATACGCATCTCACTTTATTTACCACAGTCTGCCCCAGATAAAATGTAAGTAAACAGTGCTCTATTTTAAGAAGTAGTGCTCCTGCATCCAGTAACTGGGGCAGACGAAAATTGACACTACTGTCTACCAATTAGCTGCCTCCTGACCAGGCACGGTCACTTTTCTCACTGGGTGCTCAGCTAAACACGGAAATATTTATTTGTATAACGGTGACACTGTTTAAAAAGAACGTTAAATGCATGCCTGGTTGGTGTTCGCGTGTCTGATAATGCTTATATATAAATATACTGGCAGCTCACACTATGCTTTTCCTGGCTGGCACGCAAGCGTGTGAGACGAGCTCTTTGCACGCACAAGGTCGGCTAGGGAGGTTTTAGAGGGATCGATAATCCAAGAAAGTACGAATGCCTGTCTGCCTCTAAATATTGCTTGTTCTATCGACAGCTGAGTTTAATTGAGTTTAGAAACACCATCACAACACTCGGGACATTCCCATAAGCACTCGTCCCCATCTTCAGCAGCCAGCGCAAAGGGGCGATTTCAATAGCACCAGCAGCAGTCTGATTGGCCGCAGTGCCTTTTCTCTGAGTATTGAGTGTCGACCAGACCCCCTCCTGATCCCTACCAACTGGACCATTATATCCACACCGTGATGCTTCTGCATAGTTTCTTTGCTCTAAACGGGCCTGGCTGTGTGTAGCTTGTCTCCCATCAATGTTCTATTATCAGTTGATTTTTTACGGCTGAGATTGTTACTGATATGACTGTTATTGTTGATGTTTTTTGCTGCTGTAGTTACTGCTACCACGACCTTCGTCTACCAACTGACCTAAGCAACTGTGGCTTGCATCTAAAATTGGGAGAGGGTGGGGGTGGGGTGGGGGGGGGGTGAAAGGTGCTGCTTCAGAAAATATTTAGTAATTGTTTTAACATTATACAGAACGAAACAAACAGAGAAAGAAAATTATATCTGTATGTGTTGTTTTAAAGTGTCGTTTCCACAAAGAAGGTCGCTTTTTTACGCCCACTGCTGTCTTTGGAAGTATTTTGTCTTTAGGCCCTAGTCTCGTCCATAGTGTGACCTGTACCACTGCCCAATGACCTGTACCACTGCCCAATGACCTGTACCACTGCCCAATGACCTGTACCACTGCCCAATGACCAGGATCACTGACCAATGACCTGTACCACAGCCCAATGACCAGGATCACTGACCAATGACCTGGACCACTCCCCAACGTTCAGGAGAATTGTATTTCAAACTGCCTAATCTTTTTGAGCATTCATTTGAGGTTCATTGCTGCAGATAACACCCACCTTCATTCATCTCTGTGTCCAAGTGTTTGCAGACCTGCCTGTATAGTATTATCTCTCCACGATTTTCTTGGTCTACGAGCGTTAAACTCTCTTATGTACAGTTTTTTTTACCACTCTGTCATTTGACATTCTCTCAGTATGCTCCAGTAACTTTAGTCAAGTAGCGTTCATGAAGCGAGTGACACCTAATACAAGCACAAAATGTTTTTATTTTTCCGGAAGTTTCACAATAAATAGAATAAATAGAATTCGCTGATTTGCAAACATCGATGACAGTGAAATCCATAAGTTGTACGC